AGGAGAAACATCCCGCGCTCTATGTTCAACCAACTTTCATCGAAGAAAACGAGAACACGCGCATAGCTGATGCAAATATGTAATGCGAAAGAGCCGTCTACTTCTCTCCGTCTGTACCGAAGGTAGTAAGCGCGAAAGTAAGAAGCTGCGTTGATTTGCGAGACGCGGAGGACGTTGACGAACAAAGGGACGAAGAAGCGGAGTACGGCGAAGTGTCGGAACAGTGGTAGAGACAGAGAACGAGAGCTCTGAGCGATTGCCATTTCGTACCTCAGGGTATCGTTGAGCGTTTCAGAGGCGAGGAAAGAAACGAGGGTGACGGGGGTGCGAAGGGGTTGGCTAAGTGGGAACGAAGAAAGACAAAGAGAGAGAGAAAGAGAGAGAGAGAGAGAGAGCGGCGGCGGACTATCGTCGAAGAAAGGCCGAGAAGAACGAGTATGTATCTGCATATAACCTGGTTTCTCACTCTCGCGAACGCAAGCTTTTACGCGGACACACAAGCCGATGTGTAGGAGAGACGAAGCTGAAACGAGTTCCCTTGGGAAGTGACCAGCCGTACCCCGTCCATGTTTCTCGAGTCGTACCTCCCGTCAGATATCCAGGAGAAGACCGACCACTCTCGGGAGACCGGACTAGTGCTTCTCAAACACAGGCCAGCCGGCCCTTCTATCCTTCATTACCTGGCTTCTCGTTCCAGCTTACTGTTCCGCCGAGAGTTTTCCTCGAGTACACCCACGTGCCACGCAAACGTAAACGCACCAACGAATCCGTGGCTCCTTTAAAGCCGACCTGTCGCTGCGTACGTGCCTCCCAGCGGCGATTACGCTTGCACCTGTATCGAATCTCTGCGAATTTGACCGCGTCGAATCGGAACTCGTTTATCCTCGCTGCTGCTTCGTAATCGTCGATTGTCAGTCGTGACTGATCGTGACCGCAGCCAACTCTCGCATCTCAAAAATTCTCGATATCGCGATCTTCGTACTTGGCAGTGTGGCAGGATTACGTATAGGACATAGTCGATGACGAGTAGTCAAACTCCTTGTAACTTCATAAAAATAGCATTCGATGAATTTTTGGTATATAGACGACCATAGAAGCGGATCGCGACGCGAATTGGCAGGAGCGTCGAGGTTGAAACGAATCGAGCGAGTCGCGTCTGCGAGCGTGTTCGATCGCTAGCGTCGCGTCGCGAAGCTAACGAGCCACGCTTTAATAGGCAAAGTTCCGTTTCGAGTCGTAAAATCGCGACTGCTGGTGACTTTATCGATGCAGAGGCGGGAACGGAGACAGAAGCGAAAAAGCGAACGAAGACAGCGAATTGGAAGCGGGCACGGGAACGAGACGGAGAGAAAGGAAGGTTAGATAGAGAGACCGGCCTTGCCGGATACGAGAGCCAGACCAGCAATATCGAGATGAGTTATTGTTCGCGGAGCACAATACGCTCAAATATGGAACGTAGCCGAGAAATTGATAGAAAAAATCCGTATGGCTCTACCAAAGGCTTTATTAATTCCTGCCAACGTCTCTGCAAATACGTAGCGAAATAGTCCGCGTTGAAAAAAATACGTGTGTCCAAACGAGCGCGCGCGAGCACACGCTACTGTTTCGCGATTGCAGAGGTGGCTGACCTAAGTTTTAAGGTTGTCGGAAAACGAGATGCAAAGGCAAAGTGATTTTACATAGAAAGGGCAAACAGTAGGCAAGGGGGGCGATTCGGTGGAATTATATTAGGCGGGCGCGCTCGCGCGATACTAAACAATGTATCGCCATTAAATAGACTTAAATCGTGGGACGCGGGCCTCCCCATCTTTGGTCGATCGATACAAGAGAATTCTCTGGCGACCGTTCATAGGGTGGATGACAGAAATAAGAGAGAGAAAGCGAGATGGAGGGTGAGGAGCGACCACGAGAAAACGCAGCGACAAAGGGAAATGGAGATGGAAAGAGTGGCAGTAGGGTGAGCGAGATTAAGGTAGGGGGACACAGTCCCTCGGTCCAAACTCGAGCGGCACGCTTCCACCTCGCTTTCGTGCCTCGACGACGTTTGCCTCGCCAGAGAAAAACGCCGGGGACGAATGACTCCTAGTAAATCGATTACGTGGACGGAAAACGCCATGGTTTTCGGTCTCGAATACCCCTCTTCCCCTTTCATTGACGTTCCCTCTCGTTCACTGTGAAAACCCAGTTTTATCGTTATCGTTATTCTATCGTCGGATTATTTCGATTTCGTTGGAATCAAGGAGGAGAAAAACCCACGATGATATCGTATTCATGCTTTCAGAATGTCGCTTACTCTCTCTCTCTCTCTCTCTCTCTCTCTCTCTCTCTCCCCCCTCCTCTCCTCCGTGTGTATATATACAGCTGGCTCGACAGTGCCAGAAGCACTCCCGTTGGATATAATATATCGTCCGGATGTTCGAAAGATGCTTTTGATTCCGTTTGATCGATATATTTTCATCGATATTTTACTTTTCGTTGCGATAAAAGTGCCTAAGCGCGTGGTTTCGTCGTGTTTCGTAAACCTGTTTCTGGACGTAGGTGAAGGAGCGGAAGTAAGGATTCGTCACCACTCGTGTCTCTCCCATCTGACGAATTCCTCAAGGACAACGTTTCCCTCGTTCATGTTGAAACAAGCCGAGCGTTTTCCTTTTGTCTCCGTTTCCGGTGCGTTTCTTTCTCTTCGCCGAGGGAATTCTCGTTCATTCTATGGGAATGCGATAATCTTGGACCCTTCTCGCGGGATTTCCGTAGCAGCGTATAGCCTTGCGATTCGGAAGGCGAGAAAAACTCGTGAGCTCTTCTCGTCTACGGATCGTCCCGCTGCTCGAGAGACGCTCCATTAAGCTTCTTCCAGGACTTTTTGCTAGGTAAAAAGACGCGGAACCGAGATTCGCTGCGCGGCAGCGATTCCATCTGGCCGCCTATGTTTCGTTCATTCTCTTTTCCACGATCATCTCTTCGTCCCCTTCTCGACGATCGTTTCGCAAAAACGTGCTCTTACGTCGGCTAAGGAATCATTGTTGCCTATTTTCTGGACGTGCAATTCGCCTCATCGCGTCTCCTCCTTCGTTCTTCTTCGACCCGTACGATCATCTTCCGAGGACCAGCCGAAACGGGTAGACGCGGTCGAGTAGCGTTCAAACATCGAGATCGTAGTCGGAATAAGAATATCGATCGGCGACTTGCTCGAAGCCGCGTAACCTCGATTCCCGCAAACGCTACGTGTCTACGCGTCTACCATGGTCTACGTGTCGCGACTGAGACGAAATATTCTTCCGTCTCGCCGGGGACCTCCTTATTACTCATAGCTTTCTCCGTTCTTGCTGACACTCCGGTCCATTCTCTCGTTCTCCAGGCGGAAGTCGAGGACGACCTGAAAGGATGAACAACGACAACCGCGAGCGTCGCAACTGATTCTCTTAGCTCGTTCACTGAGCAACTGCGCTTCCTTCCATGTGACGTGTCATCTTACAAGGTGCCATATCGAGTCGCCTGTTACGTCACACGTGAAAAAAACCCACCGATTTTCGGTCCGTAGCGGTATTTCGCCACGTCATTCACAGAAGAGTTTGAAATTTCGAATAACTACAACGTTCGTGTTCGCGTGGCTTTCGAAACGCAAAGAATTCAGGGAAGCGAACGAGACTGGTTAGTAGCCGGTGGGGGCTCGAGGGGAAGGAGGTGGATTACGTTTACGCGGTCGGACTCTTTTATTACGCCGGTTGCCGCGATTCGCGTACCTTTCATCGATCCAGCCACTATTCGAGTGTTTGCCGTGCCCTCGAGTCGGCTACCATTCGTTTTACTATTTGGATATTGCTGTCGTTATCCGAATAGAGGACGGTCCATCCGGTTGGCAGTTGCGTCGCGACCACCTTTTTCCAGGCGGCTTTCTCGTGGATATAGCTTGGTGAAAAACCGTGTAAAAGCAACCGTAGAAGTGGACGAGATAAAAGGAGGCGGGAACGTGGAAGACGCAGCTCGATGAGCGAGAAAGAAAACGGCGGCGATGATGGTGCACAACTTCGTTTTTAAGTAATTGCCGACCCTTTCGAGAGCTTTCATCGAGACGAAACGAAAAGCGCGCGAGCCTCCGTTCACTGCGAGCATTTCTGGAGTCTCGATTAAGCGATTAAACGAACCCCCTCCGGGGTGCTGCCGTATTTAATTTACCGCCATTCTCCGCCTACTACTCTGGAATTTCTTCCATTCTTATTCCTCTCCATCCGATCGCACCACCTGTCCTTTACCCTTATCTCTCGATCTTTGTCTCTCCACCCTATTCCCCTCATTTTCATATCCCGTCACCGGTCTTTCATTGTTCACTACGCGTCGTCAACCTCTGACGGAAATCGAGCCACGACGAAAGACGAATCGATTATATCCCCAGCTCGAAAGAAATTTCGACCTGTCTCACGAAGTACAGCTCGGGCGATAAAGGAAAGGCGGACCATCTGCCAAAGGAGAGGAACCACCATGGCGACGCTGCATCGACGTTTATCGGTGACTCGGAACGGACTCGATTCGGGTGACACTTGACAGCTCGTTAGCTCCTTTCCCCGACAGGAGAAATCGTGGTCACGCTCGTCTATTCCGGCTGTCGAGCCGGTACACGGTGCACCAATTTTCGCGCACAATTTTCCGCGTGAATCTGTCTCGGCTGAATTTACTTCGATGCCAGTATCATCCTTTCGCCTCTATCCTTTCGCCAACCGTGTTTCGTGTCCTGTGTCCGTACATTCTGGCCACTCGCCAGAATTAATTCCTACTCCTTAGACGATCCAACTACAACCCATCTGCGACCGGTTTTTGCTGCCCCGTTTACGACAGTGATATTTAAAAAACGTTTCTCTTTAATAATTCTACGTGACAAAAATCACTTTCTCTCCAGCTAGATAAGACACTTTACACTGAGAAAGAGGAAACATTCGTATTGCCGCGAGAGGTTCCAGTAAACAACGATCGATATCTAATATCTATTTTCATTTGTTTCTTTTCAGACAAAATGTACTCTCTTACCTGATAGCAATAGAAGAAGAAGAAAACGGAGGAAACTGGAGAAAGACAAACTCGAAGTTGGAGAAAAAGGAGGGTAGGAGGAGGCTGGACAGTGATTTCGTCCATCTCGATAGACGGAGAAAACGGCAGGTGTTCGTTGCGGAGCAGCTGCAATCACGACCACCATCTGCCGCAGTAATGCACGCCTCTTCCAAGTCTTCCAGTCTTGGAGAAGCGAGACTCGTTGCCTGAGGCATCCATCCTCAATTAGACGCCACCTGAAACACGTGCCCTTCTCGAATCCATGGATTTCGATGGCTTCTTTCTTCTCCACCTCCTTATCTCCTTCTTTTTCTCATTCCTCTTCTTGCTCGACTTCGCTCCTCTTTACCGGTTCTCTGCTTCGTATCTCCACGTTCCAAGGCTTCCTTTCTTTTTTCGACGCCACGCGTCATTATCCTTCGCTTCCTGGTATAGTGCCGATGTCATCGATCACCGATCCCCGTTTTTCGCGGCGACAGTTGGCAAGCACCAGGCTTTGCGTAAGCGTAAAAACAGCCCTGACACGTGCTGTCGTTGAAAATGTGAATCCGAATAAGAGATCCTGGATATCATGTTACCGCTTGATGATTATCTGGTCCGCAAGTTAACCTTTCGAAATAAAGTTGCTAATTTTCTAAGATCAATGCGCATTTGTATTCTTTTCTCGCTCATCTTTCCTGAAATTGCTTCTATAAAAGTTATTGCATAGAAAAGAATACTAACAATACTAACTTCACTCGAACAAAATACGTATACTGATGTACTAACATATGTATTTCTCTGGATTGATGGTAAATATTATATGACCGCACTTGGAATAGTTTTCTACATTACCGAGTTCGTAGGCAAACGAACTTGGCAAATGAACGTGTGGCGTCCTCTACCAAGACGAACCTATCTCACCGAATTATGTCGCGTTTACTTTTTCATCTTCTTAAAAGATAATAATATCATTAAACAAAAATTTTATTAAAAATTATTAAATTAAACATTACTTAAATTAAACGGAATTAATAAATTATTTTTCATTTTTACCAAGAGGGACGGTAATATTCTCGTCCGAATTAGTGGGAATTACCCCTTTGCTTTCCATTTGTTGTTTCAGTTTATATTTCTGTATCTTCCCACTAGCTGTTTTCGAATATTCCATTACGAATTCTATGTAACGTGGTATCTTAAAAGGCGCCATGCGACCCTTACAATATTCTCTCAATTCTTCTCTTCCAAGACTCGCGCCCTCTTGAAGACGCACGCAGGCGCATACCTGCTCCCCGTACACTTTATCGTAGGCGCCTATAACTTGTGCCTCAGCCACCAGAGGGTGTGTCATCAATACATCCTCGACCTCCTAGAACACGATTTGGCAAATAAACAAAATTAAACATAATGACTGGTATGTACACATACTTTTGGGAAAATGTTCTCTCCTCCCCGAATTATCATGTCTTTCAGTCTCCCGACTATCTGTCCATAACCATCCGATCTTAAGACGAATTGATCGCCAGTCATTAACCATCCATCTTTGGTAAGAGTCTTCTCGGTTGCCTCATTGTCGTTCCAATATTTCATCATGGTGCAGTAACCCCGAATCCAAAGTTCTCCGGAAGTACCGAATGGCACTGCGTTCCCATTCTCATCGACGACCTTTTCAATAGAGACAAAATTTAATTAAAAAAAGATTTACTTCGTAAATAACAAATACCGAATTTCGTATGATTTTTTGGTTACCATAGCTTCAACGTGATCGGCCAAATGGCCTACTGTATTCTCTGTCAATTCGTTATTTTCGTTGGGCAGCGTCTGAAAGATGACCGCCGTTGTCTCCGTCAGCCCGTATATCGTCTGTCAAACATGGCGAATCAGTAATTCGTAAGTTTGAAAGAGAGAATATGGCGAATATCAGCGATTCACGACGTACGAGGAACCTCGGAACCCGATTTCACGAAAGAGAACGTTATTGATCGAGGCCAAGAAACGATATTTCTCCTCGCAGAATCGTATTTATGCATACGAACCGAGGAGTTGCCCGTGCAAGATATGTGCATAGATAACGCGGGAAACGCGACGCGTTATGTCGGGCCGAATTAAGTACAACCCTGTCGTCGTGTCGACGACCTTCGTCCATTCCTATATCCTACCAACGTTCGTATGAATTTTGAAAATTGTATCTATCGAAGGAAATCCAACTGACGATTATTTTTTACAATTAAGATCATGTACGTTATACGTACATGCTCGATTTTTACGGCGGACATAGTGAACTGTTCAACTATACGGTCGCAAACATGATTACTTTGACATAAAGGCGCGCTCGCAAGTGCTCGTTCAAACGGTTAAAAAAGTAACGATCAAAATGTTAATATTATGATAACATGATTCTACGCTCGTGACTCTACATTTTTCTTATCACATCTGATCCCTACCTTCATGTTGTCAAAATGGAAGCATTTTCTTATTTTTTTGAAAAGCTCCGGCGACGCAGGAGCACCACCGGTGACGCCACAGGCTAAAGTTATTGGTGGCGGGTGAAGTCGTTGTTGAACGTCCAATAGATTGATCTTAAATAGATTGATCGTAAATAACAATATACAACACTAATACTTATTTACAACGAACAAATGAAAATTTTATTCATTTATCATATGAAACTTTCGAATCATTTCCTTACCCACATTGTTGGAGTTCCGTAAACGACATTGCACTTCTCACGTACTATCGCCTCCAATGATTTCACAGGATTAAATGAACGAGCTGGTAACACGAGCGTGATACCCGCGTGAAGCATACACATCAATCCTTTAATAATGCCAAACACATGAAAGAATGGAACGTTTAGGCAAACCTTGTGGTCGACGGTTAACTCTGTTTTTACGGCAGCCTAAACGATTGAAGTCCAAGAAAGATACTGCGATAAAGATTCGATCAGACATCATTGAGATAATTGCTTTGTTGAACGTCCAATAGATTGATCTTAAATAGATTGATCGTAAATAACAATATACAACACTAATACTTATTTACAACGAACAAATGAAAATTTTATTCATTTATCATATGAAACTTTCGAATCATTTCCTTACCCACATTGTTGGAGTTCCGTAAACGACATTGCACTTCTCACGTACTATCGCCTCCAATGATTTCACAGGATTAAATGAACGAGCTGGTAACACGAGCGTGATACCCGCGTGAAGCATACACATCAATCCTTTAATAATGCCAAACACATGAAAGAATGGAACGTTTAGGCAAACCTTGTGGTCGACGGTTAACTCTGTTTTTACGGCAGCCTAAACGATTGAAGTCCAAGAAAGATACTGCGATAAAGATTCGATCAGACATCATTGAGATAATTGCTGGCGATAGAGTATTATACCTGTTTCGAGTTGTTCATCACAGACCTATGTGATATCAACGTGGCTTTTGGTCTGCCAGTGGTTCCTGAAGTAAATTGTATATTACTACCATCATGACAAGATATCTGGTCCTGCTCTGCCGCGATCCACCGCGTCTCGATTCTGGTTGCGAGCTCCTCCACATCGATAAAGCGGCGAGTTCCACTACAACAATTTAGAAACGCGTTAACCGATCCATCGATCGATCGCGACAAGGTGGTAATGCATGTTAGAAACGGAATCGAAGTGTGCGTAATAGACTACAAAGCAGCGACTGACCATTAACCTAATTGCTCGTCAGTGATTCCTTTTCACGGAAAGAGATTATTAATCAAATCCACTGGATGATCAGACAAAACTTTGAAAGTTACGAGACACAATTGAAAATAGATCGACCGTGCAAGGGCGACGCAAAACTATCAATCGGATTGTCAATCGGTACGACTGGCCTGATTGTGGCTTGAAATCACGGGAGGAGGGACTCGAGGTCGCGCATTTAGGAAATTACCAAGCGTTTGGGTTAATTCGTTTCCGCTCGTTCGGCCGAATGATTATCGGTTTGCGGTTCGTTAGACGTTTGATCGAATATCTCGCCCATGAGATGCGATTCGAATCAACGAAATGAAAACAAAAGGGATAACCGTGTCGCGTGGCACATACGAATTGTTTATATGCCACGGTATACGTAGTCTGACCTAGCGATTATTCCAACAACTAAATCGAATAGGGACTGTACGTCGATTGTTGCCGCGTTTTACTACACGCGATATTCATGAATTAACAGATCGCACGAGAGCGAGTGCGAGAATACGTTAAAATTGCACCCCTGTTCGACCTCGTCCGCGTCTACTTATCACCAGGAATGACCAACCGCGACGAATTTACCTCGGAGGGATGCTTGTCGACCGCCGCTAACGACTCGATCCGATCGCGTTTCCTAAGAACAAAGGATTTACGTATACTTCGTCGCGTCCAACTTGTCCCTTTATCGACCCGTCGTTGCCGGATATCAAGAGTTATTGCACATTGTCCATTCCCTCGCTTAAATTAGACGAAATTCAAAGGAAACTCGAATATATCATTCGCAAGAGATAGAGTCACACGCGTCGCCTCAGAAGAATATTCATCTCATGATTAGAACTTAGGAAGTGTAGACAACCATGTTAGACGTTGACCGAACATTTCCTTACGTTACGTGATCCTTCGAATAGATAATTATGTGTTCCAAAGTAGGACACATTTGCTGGGCTTGAAGTAGCATGCGTGGATAATCCTGTGTTTTAAAATTGTCAGGTGATATCACAGCCTTTACGCCGACCTTTTGTATACAGTGGGTGAGCTCATCCATTTGATAGTTAGGATTGATAGCAACAAGAATGAAACCCGCTCTGCTGGCACACATGTAGGTAATTAACCATTCGACATCGTTGGGACCCCATAGTCCGAGACGATCGCCGCGCTTCATACCCAATTTCATTAAACCGGCAGCCAAACGATCGGCACGCCGAATGACATCGGAAAACGTCAATCGTATATTCTGATGTAGAGACACCACACACTCTCGATCAGGCCACCTTTCTGCAGCCGTTCCGATTAATTTTCCTATGGGTTCGTCGATCAATGGTACACTCCCATGCTGTAGCATGTGTGCCGGCTTATCTTGAAATAACCGTTGACTCGACATGTTACGTAATTTCCAAGAACTTCGAAGATCTACTACATAAAACGTTTGATAAATACGCTTAGATGATTTGTTTTTCTTTCGTGTCAATTATATATATTTTTGATAAATATCTTGTTACTCACCAAGCAATGAATGTTTCACATTAGCAACATTTTTGTAATATACGCGGTAACTAGTAGCTGGGAAGAAAAACGAATTCCTTGTAATAGAAAAACGAAACATTTCTTCAATTTATAGCTTTCCAAATCGATACGCACTTTACGGCTGCTGAGATAACACTGAGAGCCTTCCTTCAAGACGAACTACGTTGGAACATTTTAACTACGTATAGGTAATATTTATCTCTATATGTTTATCGCTTTATCCTCAACCGCATACATGCTGTTAACTATTCAAAATACCAAAGTCCATTAACGTTAATCTTGACGCTTTTGTGCACTTGACTTATGATACTGTACTAATCACCTTTTTTTTTTAAGGCAACGAAGATATCTTGCATGATTCAATTACATAATGGTGTACATACTGTGTTACATACTACATACATATGTATAAACGAGTCCCGATTGAATTACCAAGTGCAGTTACCTCACTCTACAATAAGGCGGTATACATGTATACATATATCTGTATCTTCATTTAAAGGTCTATAGCATGTTTTGTAAGTCATATTAAATTTAATTTATGTTTGTAAGGAACATGATGAAAGATACGACAAGGACACACATGGTTTATTTGAAACGTCGATCAAGCTCCTCCATTGGAATGTTGAGATATGAACGCAAAAGAAAAAATATATGTTCAAGTGAAAAAATGAAAGGTATGTAAGAAAAGTAAATCGGTTGCAGTAAGGAGGATAGCAGTGGTTAAAATCTAAGATCGAAGGACTCCACATAGACGGATGGCGTGCCTGCTGGCTCCGCGCCGGAAGTCGCGTGTCGACGTCGACCATGGCACCACCGTTCCACCTTCTGCTCCCCACTCTCGTGATAGGTTTCTCGGCTCTCCGAACCACCACTGCTGCCGCTGCTACCACCACCGAGTTCACCACCGGTTTACCGCATTTTCTAAGCATCCAACGGGGCGAGGGCTACGGTAGCTAGCGGGTGAGCCAGTTAGGCAACGTTATACGCGTCCGTGCAACCCGGTTGAATCGAGTTGTTCTTTGCTGGTGTGTACCGTTACCCTGTGGATTCCCGCACTACCGTGACAGTGATTGGTCGATCCTGCCCGAGCAGCGAGAGGGTCGAGGGAAGGCTACCCTTCGCGAGCCACGTAATGTCTTCAGAACCGCCAGGATAAACGCGGCGTTAGCACGCGTCCGACCAACTAAATCGCTCGTCCAACATCCAACTCTACCATTGGTTCTTTTTTTATTTCACTATCGACTCTTAGAAAATATCGGAAACAACGTAACAATTTATCAGTATAATGGTTTATAAACGTTAAGAGTTAAATACAACAAAACTAAAAACAGTGGAGATATAGATTTTTAAGTGACAAACGAAGTCGCCGTTCAAGCGTGAAACATGTCGGTTGACTACGATGAGAGATCGTACGGAGTACCATGAGCAGTAACAGTAAAAAGACATCGGGTGGGAAGGACGAAAAAAAGAATCCCTCCAGCAAAGAGGAAAGCCCAGTAAGCAAAGATGAGACCGGAGGATCAGCCTCGACGGGAAGTACCGGTGGAGGAACAAGCGCGGATGGGACACAACCTGGAAGCAAACCTGGATCGGCAGGAGCAACCAGCAGGGAAGCCGCACAAAAGCTCCTCGGGCTTGCCGCGCGTGGAGAATGGGCACCGGTGGACCAGCTGCTCAAATCTCTGGAGAAGGCGGTACAGAGCGTCGGAGAGGATGGTCCCCTTCTTCCTCTCGCTAGTATCATGGACCCGGTTAGTCAAAAAAGAAAATTCTCGCTAACAAAATAGCTCGTTGCCTCTATCTCAATCACTGCTCGATATATATTTTTAATTTTCAGGCAACGGGCATGACACCATTGATGTACGCAGTAAAAGACAATCGCACGGGATTGCTCGACCGAATGATTGAATTGGGAGCGGACGTAGGTGCCAGGAACAGCGCAAGTATTCCAAGAAATTCGAAGTATTTCAAGAAATTTGGTAGCTCTCCCTGGCGTGCTTTAACGAGTAAAATACAACTGGTAGATTCGCAGAATATTTTAGTTGCTTTTGAGACCGCTCCACATTTCACGGGCGGTGATAAGCGTTTTCGCGTTAAAATCTAATCGTCTTAATTGTGGCGATACTGGTTTTTGAACAAGTTCCCGGTCGCGTTGCGTGGCTGCGACACGTACTATTTGAATGACTGCATGATCATAGCCAGTGGAGACCATGGAACGTGTATAATTAACGATCTGCTTGTAATCCCTGTTAAGTCGAGTGAAGGAGGGTAAGATCGCGTGAAGGAGGGCCAAGGCCAAGGGGTTTACGGAGGTTAGAAAGTAAGCAAGCAAGTAGGCCGACGAGTGAGTAGGGCGAAAAAGTAGCTCGATTCTAGGAGATGATTAGGCACCTTCCAGATTTTATCGGCGCGTTTCTTCGCGGTAGTCATGCTTATGCGGCTACGTCCACGGTTGACCAATCCTAAAGCTCCTAGCAGATTATAAACCTACTAGGCAATCGTGACCCTTTCCGTGGGTATTTCCGCGATTACGCAAGTTCCTAGAATCTCCAAGAATTTTGCGAAAAAACTTAGGTGCGCCCCTTCATTAACTTTAAGTAATAGCTAATCGCAGAGATCGGGTTTTCTAGCCCCACCCAACGCGTCGGTTCGACGTCATTTTCAAATCGATCGGCGATAAACCATTCGTTTTATTCTGGGTGCGGCAAAATGCGATTTATAACCCGGTTTCCATACTAGCCACTTGACCCGGCGAATCTCGCTGGGTCTTACGATTTATTTCCATCTACCATAGCTAGTTGGAGCTATTCGATTCAATCGAGCGGAAGTAACTATGGCAGGAAGATGAAATCTTCACGTCGATCATACATAACCTAAAAATTGCGTTAACAAAATCCGTCTTCGTCTTTCGTAGGACAATTACAATGCTCTTCACATCGCGGCTATGTATTCGAGAGAGGATGTCGTCAAATTATTACTGTCAAAGCGGGGCGTCGATCCTTATGCCACTGGAGGAGTATGAACTTTTCTTTTCTCTTTTTCAGCTCATTAACTGTTCAAAATATGTGATATCTCTTTTATTATCCGAGTATAGCCGAGGCAACAAACAGCTGTACATTTGGTCGCGTCCAGACAAACAGGTACTGCGACTTCAATTTTACGAGCGTTATTGGCCGCCGCCGGCCGGGACATTAGATTGAAAGTTGATGGGGTAAGTAGTATGCGTCGAAGAAATCATTAGAATCCGATTCTTTTACCGCTTAAGTAATTTAACTACCTCTTGTAAGCATCAAACGTGGCAGCTTTGTGTCAGGCGTTCCTTGATCGAATTAACAGTTTTTGCGCGATTTCTATCGCGCATCGCTCCCAATTCTCGTTCACGTTTCTCGCGTGACACGAATGATGGCCCAGGACTATCGCGGCCTGGTACCGAACAGCTGTCATAATTCTCCTCTAGCTCGTTTCTTCTACTTTTTCTTCTTCTACCACCCTTCGGCACATTTCCATCTATTTCCCCTTCTTTCTCGCACGCACACTTACCAGCCTCTTAATGTTCCTTCGTTCTTTGTCTCGTAAACGAGCGAGATTATGCGATTCTAAGAGAAACTGCTCCCCAACGTCGATATTTACGTCTACATACGAATGTGACTATTTATGGAAATCGTATAGCGGATTCGTTTTTCTTTCCTCGCGAAAATCGATCTGACCAGCCGTCTAATGTCTCCCGATACTAAAGCAAAAATGGACCGTAGTCTATAAGAAATTGTTTCGAAAACACTGTCCTTGCATCACCATAATGTATTGTAGAAAGGAAAGATACCTTTGCTCTTGGCGGTGGAAGCTGGAAATCAATCGATGTGCAGGGAATTGTTGGCTCAACAGGCACCGGATCAGCTCCGTGCCACTACCACTACAGGTGACTCAGCCCTTCATCTGGCGGCTAGGAGACGGGACATCGATATGGTGCGAATATTGGTGGACTACGGGGCGACTGTGGATATGCAAAACGTATGAGAAAATCCTAGGATCTCGGAATTGCGGAAATGTTGCATACCTTTAAAGAAACGTCCTTTGAATGCGAATATTCTTCCAGGGTGATGGACAAACTGCATTACATATAGCGAGCGCTGAGGGTGACGAAACCCTCGTCAAGTACTTTTACGGTGTCAGAGCGTCAGCCTCCATCACTGATCATCAGGATCGTACTCCGATGCATCTAGCAGCAGAAAACGGGCATGCTTCTATTATTGAGTTGCTGGCTGATAAATTCAAAGCCAGCATATTTGAGAGGACAAAGGACGGATCAACACTGATGCATATAGCGTCATTGAACGGTCACTCGGAATGCGCGACGATGCTCTTCAAGAAGGGCGTCTACTTGCACATGCCAAATAAACGTGGCGCCAGATCAATTCACACGGCAGCCAAGTACGGTCATGTTGGCATCATAAGCACTCTCCTACAACGAGGTGAAAAGGTATTAGAATGGAAACTCACAAATATAGTTTTGTTCGATTAATCTTGGAAGAGAACTCGTTTAAATTAGTTGTTTGAACATTCTTTGTCGCATAGGTGGACGCAACTACGAACGACAATTACACTGCGCTGCATATAGCCGTGGAAAATGCAAAACCTGCGGTAGTAGAGACTCTGTTAGGTTACGGGGCCGAAGTTCACGTTCGAGGAGGAAAACTTCGGGAAACGCCTCTTCACATAGCAGCCAGAGTGCCTGACGGCGACAGATGTGCGCTGATGTTACTGAAATCTGGTGCAGGGCCAAATTTGACTACCGACGACGGTCAAACACCTGTGCACGTAGCGGCGAGCCATGGCAATTTGACGACGTTATTGCTTCTTCTGGAGGATGGCGGGGATCCTATGTACAAGTCGAAGGTATGATTTTTCCTCTTCTATCTGTCACTTCCTTTCTCTATGTTACGACGGAACGCATTTCGATAGAACGGAGAAACGCCACTTCACTTGGCATGTAGAGGATGCAAAGCCGACGTCGTGCGTCACTTGATCGAGTTTGTGAAGGAAAGAAAGGGTCCGGAAACAGCGACGGCCTACGTCAACAGTTTAACAAACGAAGGAGCGAGTGCATTACATTACGCCGCTCAGATCGAACCGTCGGAAGTTGAAATACCTGGTGACGACCGCGCAGTTATTCGAGCTCTTCTGGAAGGTGGAGCAGACGTTTCACTCCAAACAAAGCAAGCTCAAGAATCAGCGTTCCATCACTGCGCGTTAGCTGGAAACAACGAAGTTCTAACAGAGATGATAAGTGGTATGTCAGCCACGGAAGTACAGAAAGCGTTAAATCGTCAAAGCGCTGTCGGTTGGACCCCGTTGCTAATCGCTGCCCATCGCGGTCACATGGAGCTAGTGACCACGTTACTGGCGAATCACGCGAGAGTAGACGTATTTGACCTGGAGGGTAGGTCCGCGCTTCACCTGGCTGCCGAGCACGGCTACTTACAAGTCTGCGATGCGTTGTTGGCGAACAAAGCATTCATAAACTCCAAGTCCAGAGTCGGTAGAACAGCATTGCACTTAGCAGCGATGAACGGCTACTCGCATCTCGTCAAGTTCCTTGTGCAGGACCACGGGGCTGCGATAGACGTTCTTACGCTGAGAAAACAGACACCCCTTCATTTGGCAGCTGGTGCTGGCCAATTGGAAGTGTGCAAGCTTCTACTCGAACTCGGGGCAAGTATAGACGCGACCGACGATCAAGGTCAGAAACCGATTCATGCTGCAGCGATGAACAACTATGCGGAGGTGGCCCAGCTATTCCTTCAAAGACATCCCAGCTTAGTGATGGCATGTACCAAAGATGGGAACACATGCGCCCACATAGCGGCGATGCAGGGCAGCGTGCGCGTGATCGAAGAGCTGATGAAATTCGATCGGCAAGGTGTCATCTCTGCAAGAAACAAGTTAACCGAAGCGACTCCTCTTCAGCTGGCGGCCGAAGGAGGACATGCCGAGGTTGTTAAAGCGTTAGTCAGAGCAGGTGCTTCTTGTGCCGATGAGAATCGAGCGGGATTCACCGCGGTCCATTTGGCCGCACAACACGGACATGGTCAGGTATTGGAAGTGATGAGATCTTCTCAATCTCTTCGTATATCCAGTAAGAAGCTTGGGGTTACTGCCCTTCATGTTGCCGCGTACTTCGGTCAAGCCGGTAAGCTTATTCCACCGATTGTATCTTAGGAGAGAAGCATCCCAAGCATAATCTTCGTTTCTTAACAACGATATTAATATAAACAATGTATTCTAACACTAGGCTTGTCGAGCTTCAGAGATAGTAACCACGCTTATTACAAAGCGGAGATGTCGCTTGGAGGCTTTCCCGCGTTAGACTTTACCCTGTAAGACAGTAAAACAATGTATTTTTCGTTCAGATACCGTGCGGGAACTCTTAACCAACGTACCTGGAACGGTGAAATCCGATCCCCCAACTGGTGGCTCTCTGGTAGGAGAATTAGGAAGCGAATCCGGAATGACACCTTTACACTTGGCTGCTTACTCCGGAAACGAAAACGTCGTACGACTGCTGTTAAACTCGGCTGGCGTACAGGTATCCAAACGAAAAAAAAAAAAAAAGAAACAGTATACGGACTTTTTAATGGCGATGAGCTGATGCCAAATCATTGCCTAAGGTGGAGGCAGCGACCACGGAAAACGGCTTTAATCCCCTCCATTTGGCCTGTTTCGGAGGTCACATTACGGTGGTGGGCCTTCTGTTGAGCAGATCGGCAGAATTGTTACATAGCTCAGACCGATACGGTAAAACTGGTCTGCACATCGCCGCGACTCACGGTCACTATCAAATGGTGGAAGTTCTGCTCGGTCAGGGAGCAGAAATAAACGCGACTGATAAAAATGGCTGGACGCCGTTGCATTGCGCCGCTCGCGCCGGTTATCTTGATGTTGTTAAATTGCTAGTCGAAAGCGGAGCCTCACCGAAAAGTGAAACTAATCTCGGAAGCGCGCCGATTTGGTTCGCCGCTTCAGAGGGTCACAACGACGTGCTCAAGTATCTCATGGAGAAGGAGCACGATACATACGCTCTGATGGAGGATAAGAGGGTAAGCTATAATCGCCACTGCTTCTCTCCGTGACTTTTTTCTTTTTCGTGTAATTTCTTTTCTCTTGAAACTCGAGCTTCGACAACGCAATTGGCACAGCACGGAATTTCGAAACTTTTAACGCGAACAATGATCATTGCTCGGTCGAACCAATAAATTTTGGCGAGTGTCGACGTCAAATAACAAGCACGCGATTCCCAACTTTTCACTTTGCTCCCCTGATGGTTGATTTCGTTCGTGATGCACTTGATCGATTCGAACTCGTTGATTTTTCAGTTCGTCTATAATATGATGGTCTGCAGTAAGAGCCACAACAATAAACCGATCGAGGAATTCGTGCTGGTATCGCCGGCACCAGTAGACACGGCAGCAAAGCTCTCCAATATCTACATGAAATTGTCGGAGAAAGAGAAGGAGAGAGCTAAAGACTTGATAGCCGCCGGCAAACAATGCGAAGCGATGGCCACGGAATTGTTAGCTCTAGCCGCAGGCGCCGACTCGGCTGGAAGAATTCTTACCTCGATGGATCGCAGAAACGTGGAATTCTTGGACGTTCTGATCGAGAACGAGCAGAAGGAGGTGATTGCGCATACGGTGGTACAACGATATCTTCAAGAACTGTGGCAGGGCAGCTTGAATTGGAACGCCTTCAGGACGATTCTTCTATTCGTCGCATTCCTCATCTGTCCGCCAGTATGGGTGGTGTTCGCTCTTCCGCTCGGTCACAAGTACAATAACGTTCCCATCATAAAATTCATGTCGTACCTCACGTCTCACATATATCTGATGGTCTTCCTTTTACTGGTCGGTATAATTCCTATATATCCGGTGGTAAGACCGAGTCTATTACCGTACTGGTACGAATGGTGTCTTCTCGTGATGCTGTCTGGACTTTTGCTCTTCGAGCTGACTAATCCTAGCGACAAGAGCGGACTAGGCTGGATCAAATTGGCGGTGCTATTGTTCGGCATCTGTGGAGTAGCGTTCCATCTTATGGGCTTCGTGCTAGTTCAACGACAGTACTGGCCAACCCTGCTCTACCTCAGGAATCAACTATTCGCTCTGAGCTTCTTGCTGGCTTGTGTGCAAATCCTCGACTTCCTCTCGTTTCACCATCTCTTTGGACCATGGGCGATCATCATCGGAAACCTGATGAAGGATCTCGCCAGATTTCTTGCTGTGTTAGCCATCTTTGTGTTTGGTTTCTCGATGCACTTCGTTGCGCTGAACCAAGCCTTCAAGAATCAATCGACTCAAGACATGCGCGAGGACAAAAAGAAAAAGGGCGCCTTCTACGACGGTAAGTTCGACGCACATGATTAGCCGTGATCTTTTCTAGAATGTAGCAGAGAGAGAGAAAGGGAGAGAGAAATTACCTCCTAATTTTTACCCCCGTCTTATTCCTCGGATATACGATCGCAGCCACTCTATGAAAAAAAAGATAGGCGGCGCGGTCGATGGGACCGCGAACATGCGATACGCGGATACACGAATAAAAACACGCGTACTCGATGCTTCTCATCCCCTGAAAAGGTAGTATTCGATATTCGAAATCGTTCGAATTAATCAATGGCAGTGAATGACGAATCATTCCTTGTCCATCGCGATGCCTCGCAGGCCTCCGATGATTTAATAATTTCGAAGACGAAGACTAAAACCTATCGTTGTCCCGACTATACCATAGAACAGCCTAGTTGCCTCGAGACAAACGCATAATCGGATAAATTGCAATGATAGATTTGTTGGCCAATGTTACGGAATGGATGATGGAGACGCCATCGACGGCGCCTCCTCGTCGACACCTCCGTTACAAGACAAAACCACCTGAGTGTTGTGACGATAGCTCCCGAAATAGTAAGTTTTGAAAGCCGATTGAGAACGTTAACGAGAACCAGAACGGAACGTGAATTGAATGGCAATGACACGTGCACAACGGAATGCAGGACACGATTCTTCTTGGTGTCGTACCGTCTGCATTGTGCGTTTGCCCGATGTGTGTTGCCTGCTGGGACTGCTGCCTGATTCCAATTAACATAAATATTTGTAACATTGCGAGAAATGTTTCTCATTCCGCTGTAACCTGTGCTGTGATTCGGGCTTGTGACGAATATCCGGGACAACTCCGCACTATGTCCAGTTTCCTTTATTTTTCTCTATGACGATCAATGCCATAAATTCCTGAAACATGTTCATACTCACGTACAACACGAAAGACAAAAGGATGTTGATGCTTTTCCCAAATCCTAATTGCCTGGTCGCGAGTCCGAATCGCAGCTACTCGGTGTCTACAGCTCGATCTCGGTTCCGATCTCGAGATCTTAGCGTCCCACCGAGTGGATTGGCGACCACCGCCGGTTTCTTCCTTATTTCACGGAGGCGCCAATCGAGCGCGCGTTTCTCCACAGCCTCTATTGTGCATCGTACGCATTTCTCTAAACATACAAAAGTAATGTTATCTTTTTCGTGCTATTCGAGTCTTGCGCAATGCGTGTTTTGTATGTCACTAATCGACCAAGTCGAATTACGACCTCGAAAAGCGTCGGGTTGGTCCACATCCAGACGTTCGATCCCGATGTGCCACCCGATGCGCGCACTTCTCCATTTTTTTCTGTGACTGTCTCTAACTGCCGGAAACCGCCTCGACTCAATATCCGTTTTAGACTTCCCTATCCCTCCTCTCGTCCTCGAGACGTCCTCCTTTTCTCCTTCGAATCCCTCTCTTCGTTTAAAGTCGCGGCCGCTTTACGTGTACTTCCTCACGATCTTGGGGAGCAACGAAGCGTCCGATTTTTCCTTGCATGCGCACGGTAAATAGTTCTCTTTCTACGTACGTGTTCGCTCGTGCGGCTACGTCGCCGCAAGATCAAGACAAAAAGAGAAAAAGAATGCTCGCCGCGCCGTCTGCATGCTGCATCTCATCGTCCAAAACAAACGAATCAATTGTGAACCTCGTGAATTCCGAGAACCCGGTAGAAAGAAGAACATGCGGAAAGCCCGCACATTCTGATGATCGATAAAATACACTTGCCTTTGTAGATCCTCGATACATCCCACGAATTTGCTATCGCAAATTCTTGCGTCTTAACACAAAAGAAAACAAAAATGCGAACGGAATAGAAATAATAATAACAGGTATACCACCTTGAAAGTTAAACGACACCGAATAATTACATAGCGTGGATCGATTGAAGCTCACGGAACGTCCGGCATGCATTCAACGTTATTCGCAAGCATGGCCAATCTGTATTAGCATGAGCATGTTCGTACATTCATTGTTCGTTCGATCGTTCGTTCGTTCTAATGTACGTATGATATACCACACCCGCATCCATACATAGCGAGTCCACCAGTAGCCGCCTAAAGGCACGAAGCAACAGTCACGAGAGAAAACACAAAAAAAAAGACAAATCAAGAAACGTATGTGCCTCGAATTCCAGTAAAGATGAATCCTGTACTCGCCTTCGAGTATCTGTTCTTCGCCGTCTTTGGCCAAACGACCCACGGCGAACTGAAGGTCGAGACTAATCAGCCGCAGTGGACCTCGGTCCTGTTCAAGTTGACCTTTGGCGTATACATGTTGGTCTCAGTAGTTGTATTAATTAATCTACTGATCGCCATGATGAGCGACACCTACCAGCGGATACAGGCGCAATCGGACATTGAGTGGAAATACGGACTCAGTAAACTGATCCGAAATATGCACAGGTAAGCCGGCAAACGTGTTTCGTATACAAGACCAATTGGATTTCTCAGACCCGCGTTCAGAACATAAATACCCGCCTATTTCCGTTTCTTGTGCTAAGGAAGCAATACGTATTCCCCGAAAAAAGTCTGCTACTCCACTGCTAGTTTTCGCTGTCAGTTTCCCGCATTGAACCGCCTCCGCGCCGCATGTTCCGTCACCGTGTAGTTCTTTTTCGTGAAACGAATCTGTGGGATAGGCTGGACACACGATTCCGTGTTGCAGAACGACCACCGCCCCATCGCCTCTTAACTTGCTCACTACTTGGATCGTGTATTTCATCAAAGTGTGCAGGCAACACGCTGCAAAACGAAAACGTCCCTCTTTAGTCCACATGATGGGACTTCAGCGAGCTGCTCGTCTCTCACCTAGATCGAAGATGGGCGCGAAGTGGCTGGCCAAAGTGAAGAAAGGTCAAGTCAGACCGAAAGACAGTGTAACCTTGTCCGTGGTGCACTTGAGTCCTCTTGGAAGTCAATTGTCTTTCAATAGTGCTACAAGACTCGAAAGCGTAGTCGATTGGGATTCGATCCGTAAGAAATATTTAGCTCTGTCCGGGAACGAGCCTGAAAAAGAAGCAGACAAGGATACCAAAAACGAGGATGACGAGAAAGAGGATGAAAACGTACCGACGGTTTCTAACTCCTCCATGGTACCAACAACAATGACGCCACCTATCTAGAGGAAGCTGATTTTTCGCCTCGGAAAAATACACAAGTTCGATTCGATGATTGCGAATTTGATTTTACCGGACGCAATGCCGTATACGAGTTCTCGTCGCGCTAATACCGCATTGAAAATAGCTACGACATCAAAATATTCTAGGTAACAACTCGTAGTTGGATTCATATCACCTTTTGAAGGTCGACCGGCTATTCGCGAGATATAATCAACATGCTATCGTTTCGGAATTTACGTAAGTAGTCCCGCGAACACGAAATAGAGAAGTACGATTATGATATCGTGCGTCTGTAAACATTTAACCCAGCATGGCTATCCTACTTCTGGAGTGCACTAGAACTACCTTTGGTTCCTTCCTATGGTAGGATTTGTAGATGATTGCTCGTCTAGAGCGATCTGAGTTCATCCTTATAAACGCATCCCTTAGTTTAAGAAGTTAGTAGAATAACGCGTTCTACTACGACTTAGCGTTTAGCTATAGTGACACTATCTTAAAAACGTCGAGGTCAACAAAAAAAAAAAGAAAAACATGCACGTACTAACACGCATACAGATATACACAACATGTACATACGTACGTACTTCACAAACAGATTGAAGAACATAAAATCTATCGCGGTACACAGAGTTTTCACGAGACGTATCGTTCCCACGTATTTCCAGTCAGGATGAGTCCCGTATTGGCCGTTGAGTTATTGTTCTTCGCCATCTTCGGTCAGACGACCCACGAACAATTCAAGGTCGAAAAAACGCAGCCCGAGTGGACCAAAGTTCTCTTCAAGCTCACCTTTGGTATTTATATGCTGGTTTCGGTGGTTGTGCTGATTAATCTGCTAATTGCCATGATGAGTGACACTTACCAACGGATACAAGCTCAGTCCGACATCGAATGGAAATACGGATTGAGTAAGCTTGTTAGAAATATGCACAGGTAAGGAATTATAATCGTTGCTCATTGATAAGAAATGTCGAGCTCTCCTGTAGCGTACCCTTTGACAATCGAAATCGAGATAGAACCGATATCGATTTCCGATGCGATAAGAAACGCCGTTGTATGCTCGCGCAATTTGAACGAGACACGTTCGTTCGAACGGTCGCGGAAATTCTAATTGATTAGATACGTTTATCGATGTGCAGGACAAGCACAGCGCCATCGCCACTGAATCTCCTTACCACCTGGATGGCATATTTGTACAAACTCTGCAAAAAGCGGGCTGCAAAAAAGCAACGACCTTCTCTTGTCCGCTTGATGGGATTGCAAAGAACCGATGCGCTTTCAGCGCGGTCCAGAATGGGCGCCAAGTGGTTGTCCAAAGTGAAAAAAGCACAGGTGGCTCACAAGGATAGCGTTGCTTTATCGGTTGTTCACCTGAGTCCTCTTGGTAGCCAATTATCATTCAGTAACGTTGTCAGAATCGATAACGTTGTTGATTGGGAAGCGGTCCGACACAAGTATCGTGATCTTTATGGTGAAAATATTGAGAAACATGTCGAAGAATCGAAAGAATCTACCGATCATGAATCCCTACCGACTGTTCTGGAAAGTTCGTTGGCCGGTGTTCCCGTGGCAGGAAGCCAAACTACACTTACTTCTATTCCTTGAATCGATTGATTATTTGCAATCGATATATTGGTTAAAGTTGAACCTAATTGAACTTGTCCTCCTGGTTTTGGATTACTATAGTAAAACGACGTTATATCGTTTCGTTTAATTGATGTGTACAGTTTCGTCTCATACGTACTTTCTCATTAAAATAAACATCCAAATTAATCGGATCATTCTGTGATTCTACTATTATTCGCGGACCTTTTACCCTCCCTCGCATCGATGCAACGATTACCGCCTCGATCATGTTTTAGAGAAGACTACCAAAGGAATGATGCTGTATAGCAACAATGCATAGGAACTTAACGTATCTTTAATGGTTAGTCCATCTATATGTATGGTCACTCGTATTGCCTTGCTCTTTAATTGTCACACTAACAAATCGATAAACTAATTCCACTGCGTTAATGAAATGTTACTGAGTGCATGCGTGCATGCTCATTAGCCGAATATCACCATGCTTACAGACTAATACAATCGAATGCGTATTTCCAAAATTCGATCGTATCGCGAAATTGGTGCATCGACCGTCTGCCGTTCGATTAGTTCTCAATCAAATCATAACATGATCATGACACACCGATTATCGATCTTCATCGATTAGGATCACTCGCACGAGATATCACGATGTCTTGAAATCGATCTAACGAGCGAATATTCATTCATATGTCGTCTAAAATATTCCAATTTCATTAATGATCATTTAAATTATGCTCCTTTTCCAATGTGATAACTACTCTTATCCTACCTATATTATCTTTTCATCTCCATCGCATGTTTCGCATTTCATGCTGTATATATCCCTTTCTTTCAATCAATGTCATTAAATTTAGCAATTGGGGCGCAACGATTAAAGTGCAAATTCACGCAAAATGAATCACGTAATTGAAGACGCAATGTAAGAATGATCTTTGCGTTCCTCTAGGAATACCTTTGACAATTTTAGATGCTTGAATACATTCTTTCAGTGAAAGTGAATCCCATCGATATTACGGAAAATCTTTTCTTCGCTATTTTTGGCCAAAAGGATACGGATGACTTCACGATATCATTAAAACGAAAAATGCAACCAAATTGGACAATATATTTCTTTAAGGTCAGACTAATATTCACAACTACTCGTGCACGATTCGTACCTCAAGGATTGACCTTCAATGCTCTCGTATTCTGACAGATATCTTTCTCTCTATATATGTTGGTTAGTGTTATTGTACTAATCAATCTATTAATCGCGATGATGTCCGACACATATCAAAGTATTCAGTCGCAAAGCGATATCGAATGGAAATATGGATTGAGCAAACTTATTCGTAAAATGCAAAAGTAAGTAACTCGCAAAAAATATACCTATACATGTCAAAAACAAACTTCCATGTTGTAAAGAAAAGCGAAAAGCACATTTACAACTAATACGTCAAAATGTTTTACTGTAAATGTAACTTTTTAAGAACACGTACTGCACCTTCGCCGTTGAATCTCGTTACTTCCTGGATTTCATATATTGGAAGAGCGTGTAAAAATCGAAGCGGCGAACGTAAAACTGGTGTAATGCACCTATTTACGGGACATACATTTATTCAGGTAAGTCAAAGGTCGATAGTAAATAAGTAATAAATAGCAACAAATTTCTCTTTTCGCTTAGGACAATGGAGTATTATCTCAGCAGCGTGACGTCATTAACTTTCCATTACTTCAATCAAGTCCATTGGAAAATCAATTATCTTTGAAAGATTCCATAAGAATTGAAAATGCCGTCAAATGGGATTTCGTAAGACAAAAATATAGAATGCGATTTGGTAACGAAATCGAAAAACCTCTTCCAGAAAAGCCGTCTACGACTAATACGAACCGTTGAATGATTTTATGTGTAGTTTCCTGATACTTACATATATACACCGTAGATTCGCCATTTTCTCACACACGATCTTTGTATCTTCTACATATTTGATATCCCTTTTATCTTGACCATTAAATATAAAGAAAAATATTTCTGTATCACTAGTAAAAAAATGTAAAAATTATCTAAAGGTTTTAAATGAGTGTTAAGTAAAGCATTTTTATGAAATATAATTTCTTTTTCATAATATAAGAGTACAAAAATATTTATTTATATATATATATATATGTATGTATGTATATATATATATTTTTATATAATAGTCTTTTCTATAATATTTCATATTATATCATCTTAATTAAAGTAGCGCTTAGATTTTAATAATTAGCTTTGCTAAGATATGTTATTTCTCTACCGTATCTTTGGTGCGTAGTAACAATCAAGCCAAAAACTGCGGCTTGTTCACGTACACATTTGTCTTCCTCAGGGGTCAAACATTCAGGAAGTGGTTGTCTCAAGGCCTGATTATCTTCAGAAAAGCTTTTACAGATCTCGTATGCAACTTTTTCAAAAGCAGAAGGCTCTTTCTTTTTATTTTCTTTAACTTTTAAGCAATTTTCCCAAAGCTTTTTCTCCATGTCCAAGTACTTCCTTTGTTTTTCATTTGCCTAGAAGTAATGAGTATGATAAAATGTTTCCAGAAACAACATATATATTTTTTGATTTTATTAGCTCACAAGTTTAATTTCCTTGACAATCTCCATATTTTTAGGTTCCATCTTCAGAGCAAGCTGCAACTTTTCCATTGCTCTAGAAAACTCTCCCATTTTCAATAACGCCCGTCCATAACTACAAAATAAATACAAAATGTATAAATGTACAATCATGTTCATGTAGGTATTTCTTAGAATTTGTTTTAACCCAACATACTTGAAATGAGTTTTAGATGTAGGTATAGGAACTCTATTGCATGCATTACAAGCATTACGTGGCATATTTTGAATATTGTAGCAAATTGCAAGATTGTTATAACCTCTTGAAAGTAATTTATTTACTTCATCTTCCTCTTGCTGATTTTTTAGTTCTGTTTCTTCTAACCATTGAAGTGCTTTCCCATATCTGAAAACACACAACGATAATAATAATGTGTTGATATATATATATATACATATTTCATTTAAAAAATACTTACTCTTTTGTTGCCTGCTTAATTTTCTTTTTACTAAAGTAATCTTTGGCAGTATTAAATTTACCCTGAACACCTTTAACAGCAGTTGCAAATTGTCTTCTTTCTTCTAAAGACAAGCTTTGAAATTTCTTAGCAGATCCATTATCCACATAATCAGTTAAATGTACAATGAATAATACTTCTTCATTTGGTGGAATACGAGGAGCACAACCATATTTTCCATATGCCAAATCCGGATGTATAAGGAACATTGCTATTTCATGCTTTTTCATTGATGTAATACCAATCTCTAAACCAGGTAATAATGAATCCTCACCTAAATGTAAGGTTTCTGTATCTCCGTGAGCAAAACTAGAATCGAATGGCTCATCACTGAATTCAAAATGTGCTATATATTTGATACTAACTTGTGCATCACATGGTATAACAGTACCAACACCTTCCTGTTTTATTAATTTCATGACCTACAAATAGTATTTAAAAAAACATTATTCTATGAAAGACCATCAATATACTAACAACATCAAGAAATATAATTTACCTTTCCATCTCCAAAAAGATTAGTCATTTTAGTTTTTAATTTTTTAAAACTGATACCACAAACTGTAATTCGGTTATTTATATTATCATCATCACAAGTATCTTCATCTTGAAAATCATCCATATTTAAAAGATCTAATACTTCATCATTAGTTAATGGTATATCCGTGGAATAACCAAAATCTTCGTCGTCGAAGTTCTCACAGTTATTAGAAACTTCAAATACCATTCCATCTTTTAATGTCAAATCTCTGAAATATATGTTTTATCAAAGATTTTGTTCTAAATTATTCGACGTTTCGATTAAAAATATAGGTTTGTATTGTAAAATTTGGATTTATATACTTAAGGGTAAATCCATCTGAAGCATTTATACACTTTTCCATTTTAGTAACTTATATCAATTTATCTAACTGATAAAACTTTAATTTTTACTATTCCCTGCCAGTGTAATCCCAGTGGAGATGAGTAATAATTACAAAATTTTATCAAGATTATTCAAAGAGGAAAGGTTAAATTCTTTCTACCTTTTGTTATGGTTTCAAAACATGAAAAGAAAGATATCTTTCCCCACTCCTCACTCCCCACCACTGCTTATCGTATATGTATATCCAAATTACATTCATAACAAACTGTCGTATCCAAAAAAATAAAATAACTACTATACGAAAATATTTTAATTCTGATATTGCTAATTATTAAACGAATATTATATTGTAAATGAATAAAAATATTTTTTCATCATGAATAACACAACATTCTTGGATATAGATGATACAATATTAACAAAAAACCTAATATTACCTGTAAGTAACGATAGTAATTAGGTGACTTTCATGTTAGAATTAGTATATATATAAACAAATAAATCTTTTATTTCTGTAGGATAATGATACACTGATAAAGCAATCTGATTCTAAACCTTTCTTTATTATCCAACCTACACCAGGTAATTCCAGTTATTAATATTAACAAAATTAATAACATTGATCAAATATAATCCCTGTATATATATTCTAGGTATATGTATAAAAACAAGAACTGATGGTGGAGAAAAAGTATTCTTAAACATATGTACATCTGATAAAATACCACCACCTGATGATATATCGGACGCAAAACTTTTTGAAATATTGTCACAAGAAAGTCCAGAATTTGTAGTACTTATGAGTATTGGATGTGAAAGATTTGAAACTGATAAAGGTAACTGTATTGTATAACAAGATAATATAACATTAAAATTAATATATCACATGTAACATTATAGGTGGATCTCCTTGTTTGACGTATGATATTGTTATTAATACAACATATTTTGAAAAATGTCAAAAAAACAAAAACTTTTTACTATTCACAATATCAGTTATAATAGATGGTGTATCGAACAAATTTAACAGAACATTAAATACAGAAGATTATGTGATTCTTAAAAATAGAAAAGTATATTTATTTTCTAATTGAACATATGTCAATGAGATTATGTTACATAAATAGAAGAGACCTCAGATTTGAATTGTATATCTTTTAGGTAATGGGAAAATTGCAGCAGCACAGGATTGAAGATCGTAAGCCACGAACTCACACACAAATCCAGAAACAATTAATTGAGGAAATTAAAATTCCTACTAAAGACATTCATGAAAAAGAAAATAAAAGTAAATTAGAAAATATTTCTTCAGATACTGTAGTTGGTTTAAATCAAAATTATGTATTACTGAAACATTTAAAAGGAACATCTATACATTTGATTGGGGTATTCCAAATACCTAAAGGGGTAAGATAATCAAAATTTTATTTCCAGTAGATAGTGTATAAATATTGGTATTTTACTACAGATTACTAGAAAAGAGGTAGATGTACTTCTTGACCAAGATCGTATTGTAATTACTATTGATAAAACTGGTCTCGTATATGATTTATCAGTTCCATACATCATAAATATACCATATGTGAAATGTATTTTAGATAATAATCTCAGGGTAAGAATGTCAGTTTATTGTAATTACATTTCCTTATAATATTATAATAATATATAATTTATCTCCTTCACAGGTATTAAGGTTAGATATGCCCGTGGAAAGAGTTTTAGAAAATATTCAAACAAGTTAATTTTTAATCAATTAGTTTATTGTAACGAAAAACATTGTAACATTTATTTATACCTTAGAAAGGTAAAATATAAACTTTCTTATTAACTGTTTTAATCTATTTCTCTTACCAACGAAACTATAATTTTAATGCATGTATATGAACAATATAATTGGAACTAGGTTAACAAGTTTGAAACCTGAAATTGCGCTTTTGGTATATAAAATAGTACAGGACATCTGACTCACATATTTGTGACCTGTAGCAACAATGGATACGAGCAATGAATATATGTATACAAAAACAATATCACAAACATTAGTATTGGAATGATTTGTACAATGATTATAATTTCATATTATGTTTACTTTATACCGATAAAACCGATAAATGCGTCGTTTTTATAACTGAAGGAAGCGTTTTATATTTCCGTGTAAAATGTCGGTCGTTCGATTCCAATTATAGAAAACACATTTGGCAAGAGATACACTGTATTTACACCTATCATAAAACAAGTCACATATTTGTGGACTAGATCAACAAGAACTTTATTGTTATCTTCTGAATAATTTTGACTTTTCATGAGGTCCTCAGAATTAATTCTTAATATGGCACACATTATTTTATAACAAAAGGATTTGCAAACAGCCCTTGTTACAAGAATACCGGAAAATCCAAGTATTGTTCTAAGTATCATGCAACCAAACATTGGGTAAGTTGGCCATATAATATCATATGGTGGTGATTTTGTAGGAGCTATCATAGCTCCAGTATTGTAGTTAAGCCATGCTCCTAAATGAACCCCAGTGGTAACAGATACCACCATAGTTGTATCACCTCTAAAATAGAAGACTGTTCGTCATAATCAAATTGGTATCTTTATAAACTATAAGATCATTATATAAATTACCTGGTCGGTGTCCATTTCTTGCTGCATGGGTAGTAAACTATAACAGCTATACTAGTAACAATTAAAATTGCCAAAGCCCAAATGTTTGAGAGAATATAATAATCTGTGTAGTCCACTAAAGGTACTAATGGAATCATTAATGCAACGGCCAACATTAAGCCTGCTAGAATGTCTAATACTGTGTGCATACCTAGATATAATCTACTCATACACACAAGTGTACACCTTTTAAATAAATAATAACAATTATATTTAAATTCTTTTGTGAATTTTAATCAATCTATTGTTAGAGAATAATATGTCACTTACCACAATGTTGCAATTGTCCAACCAATAGAAACGGGGTAGAGATACCTATTTATTGTAAATAATACTACACTGAATGGAATCGATATACCAATCATAGCATGAGTAGATGGCATTCCATATTCTTCTGACCATTTTATTTGCAATCGAACTGCTGGAGGACATGCAGGTCTTGCCCAACATATAACATCTTTTAATATTTGACCTACATGTAAATTTTCATAATGCAACGATACTGTTTAAAAATAAAATGTATTAGATATTATTAAGCAATAACATACCCGTTGTCATGATAATAGCCCATACTAAAACAACCCTTCTACCCACTGCACCATCGATATTCCAAAACCAGAAAGGTATAAATGTAGAATAAAATATTTCATCCCCTAATTCTGTTCCAAAAAAAAATAAATAATACCAAAAATAGTTTGTTATAGTATAATTCCAATTGAGGGCGATCGATGGTTCGTATTTCTCACTCATACATATATTTGTTTTTACACCACAAATAGATCTTTTTTCCGTTGTAATATAACCATTTTCTTTCGCTTCTCCAAATTTTAATTGGTAACTATTCACATTGCGTTTAATATTTCGACAATTAGTACCATGGATTTCAGGACAGAGATTTTCCTTATAATGTTCTTTCAAAGTTTCACTATAATGTATTTTGACACCAAAACAATTTTGTATTTTTGCCACTAAAGACGCATCTTTTAAATATTCTAAAATTTCTGACCACATAGTTCTTACGTGTAATGTACAAGTTTCATCATAAGAATAACATTTTACTTAGCAATTTAGTAAATTACTATTGAATATATGAATCTGACAATAATGAATTCATTAAATTGCATAAATCAAGACTAAATACATTAAAAAAATTGCTAAAATGGAGGTGATTCAATATAAATCTATCACATAAATGTTAATTTATCGAATATTCATCGAACTATTTACAAGAAGTGTAATTCCTTTTAAATTTTTATTTACAACAAGTAAAAAATTAAAGGAAAGATATTGAATAGTTCAAACGTGTTTAGATAACCGCAAAATCGATGATATTCGTATGTATCATCTTTAAACACATTTTTTACCACTCTTGTAGTACATTATTGTGCGTATATATAAGTACATATTCCATAAAGTATATACAGTTATGGAAGAGATGCTGCAACTATGTGAACTTAGATTCGCCAACTTCAAGCTCTGGACTAAACCAATGACCGTAGTCGCCTAATATTTTGTGGTTGTTTTACAATAAAATGGATAGTTATATCTCGATTAAGAAATGTATCAATTTCGATATAAAGATACGTATATTAATATTTTTAACTGTTTGAGTATATGAGTTACATATACTTCAATAAGAAAAGATCTAATGAAAAAGGGATTGACTTTAGCCTTTTTATTTGATAAACTATCCTTCACCCTAATTGCAAAACTCTATATACGATAAGAAAACTTATAAAATAAAATTAATCCCATTCCCATATTTTATAATGTATGAAATATGCAACGAGTGATACCACTTAAAAATGCAATAAAAAACATTTCGTACATTTATTACTCCTTTTTATCCATGCAAAATATATTTCAAGTAATAATTGAAACATATTTGCAAAATAAAAATTTATCACAGAAACATTTCAATTTGAATTTCATCAGTCATTCATTGCATTAATCTACGATTGAAACATTTGTCCGATAAGAGCGAAGCTTTTAACAGCTAGAGAAACATCAGAAATTTCGGAATTCGAGTGAATATGTAAATCTGATGTATTAACAGCATTTATGTTAGCAATATTCTGAGAATTTATTTTTTGAATATTGTCCATGTAGGTTTTGCTACTTTGTGTATTTATCGCATTAGTATTATTCAAATAAACTTGCGGTAAAACGGTAATGATAGAGGTTGGTGAAGACGTTTCCGATTCGCAATAGCTTTGCATATTTTGTGACGTATTGGATTGATAACTATTATATTGCGCTTTACACTTTTTCTCATGTACGAATAAACTACCAGAATGGCTATATGCAGTGCCACAAATCTTACAAGCATATGGTTTTTCCCCCGTATGCGTAAATTTGTGTTCTTTTAAGTACTTTAGTCGCCTAAATGATTTACCGCAAGTTTTACAATGATAATTTGCTTCTCCAGTATGTGTTGTAATGTGTGCTTTAAGCGTACATGATTTGGCAAAAGCAGCACTACAAAAATGACAAACGAATGGTCTATCACCAGTATGAGTTCTTTCATGATTGATGCAATTAGAATTTGAAGTGAATCCTCTTCCACAATATTTACAAACATGAGGTTTGTATCCTGTATGCGTCCTCATATGGAACATGAGACCTGTATTTTGTCTAAAGGTTTTGCTACATATGTGACATAAAAATCGTTTAAAATTTACATCTTGCTGTTCCTTAGCGCGCTCGTGGATTCTTATATGTTTTTGTAATTTAACTTCCTTTTCAAAGGATTTATTACATTCTCCGCATCGATATGGTTTTAATCTTTCGTTTGATTTATGTTGATTCTTCTCCTTCTCGTCACAGGCACACATCTTACCGCACGTTGTGCAGTTTTCTCCTTCTGTATTATGCGTACTTAATTGATGCTTTAGTAAGGATTTTTTTGTATCATATGATTTTCCACAAATTTTACAAGGAAAACCCTTTTCCTCGTTATCTGAATCAAGCTCTTCTCGAATCCAACTGTTTATTAATTTAATGGCTGACTTATCGTCACTTGGTTTTTGCATTTCTAATGCTGAATTTTCATTATGCCCATATCGATTTTTATGACTATTTAATCTATCTTGGCGAAAGAATTTCATATTACATACATTGCAAACAAATCTTTTTTCAATATGAATCTGTAAATGTTTTTGAAGAGATTTTTCGTTCGCATAACGCTTGGTACAGTAGTTACATCGATAAAGTGTCTCATGATCGAAAGAATCAAAATTTTCAGTAGATATCAGTAGTTCAGTAGATAATGAATCAGAATTACACTTTTTATCTTTAGATTCTAAAGTCCTATTTTTTAGGACACTTAAAGTATTATTTTCATTTGTTGCAAATTCTTCCTCTGTTTCTTTTTTATCTTTATTATTTTCAACTTCTTTTTTTCCTGGTTCAGTTATGGTTTCCAATTTTCTTTTATCTCTAATTTCTTTCAGAATAGAAAGGACCTCCTTTGGATTAGTTCTTTTATGAACATTTAAATGTCTTACCATAGTATCAGTTTTCCTAAAATTCCTATTACATATTTTACACAATACTGGTTTAGGTTTTTCTTTAACAATATGTAGTTTATTATGTTGTATCAATTTATCAAGTTGAAAAAAATGTTTGTTACATTTATCACATGTGAATTTCTTTTCATCATGAGTTAATATATGTCTATCCAAAGATCTTTTGCTGGAATAGCATCTGGTACATTTTGGGCAACTATAAGAACATTGAGAATCTGTCTTTTTAATATCTGCTGCATCATCATCCCACTTAACAGCTGTATTCTTTTTTATATATTGTCTCTGTCTTTCTTTATGATTTTTTAAATTTTCTATAGATGTTACTCTTTTAAACATGGTCATTCTTCTTGTCCGATAAACTTCTCTTCCTGTAACACTTCTTTCATATTCTGTTTGTTTACATTTAATATAGGCATTTTGTTTATTTAAGTTACTAGTGGATTCTTTATCTTCTGCGTACTTTGATTCATTAATTACTTCATGATCTTTTATGTCTTTAGTACTAGAATTAAGCATTACCATTGGATAAGGATTATAACCCATTGCAGAAAATGAATCAGCTTCAATTTTGATTAAATCAGAAGTAAATGAATAATCAGTCTGGGAATATTTATCCTGGTGAGCAATAAAGGACGAAATAATAACAATTTTGTAATTATACTCTTTTTTTACAAATGTAGAGTACTTACTTTTGTAGTTTTACATAAATTGATATTATATATTTTTTCCACTTTACCATACAATTCTCTTAATTGGATATCGGATTGCTGGCATTGCCTTCTTAATTCATGGGCATCATTGATCTTTAATATACATTTCGCGCAAATAGTGGAAGGTAAACCATCATTTTCCAGTACCTATCCAGTAAAAGTCGCATTATAAAAAATATAGCGAACAAACATTGAAGAAAAAAGAAACCATTAGAATTAAACTAACCTCCACACCACTGCACAAACGAAGTTTTTCAGACAAATCAATTGTACTTTCATTAATTGAATCACTTCGTTTACTATCGAAAATGCATTGATTATTTTGATTTGTTGCAAGACAAACACGGCAAACATTACCACAATCATTTGATGAAATTGTTGTTTTATTTTCGATTTCCATTGGACCGTAGCTAAACTAAATGTTTAACTAGAAATATATTCACATTCAAATTCTTTAGAATATTCAACAAAAGATCATAATTTAGATGTGATGTGGTGCATTTGCTATCACATGTACGTTATTTCTTTTTTCTGCGAAAGTTCATCAATGCTTCTGGTAGAGTTTCTATGACAGTTGTGAAAACTCAAGGTTTCTTAAGACATTACCTTTTCAAAACAATGATCTCTTAATATTGTTGTTATTATTACTTATTATAATATATAATTTATCTAAATCCATCTTTAAAAATAAATAAAATATTAATAAAAAAGAGGGGATACAAATCGAACGATAATCTGTTTATTTCACTTGTTCATGACATAAGCAAACATTATAAGAAAGTAAATACGTAAATAGTGATTTGAAATATTGACGCATTTAGAAGGTAGCGTTTTGTTAAATTATACGAAAGGACGGAGTAATTTTACTATATTATACAATTAAGTGATGGCAAGTTTATCAGCAAAAAGAAGTTACGAAGACGATGATAGTACACCCAATGTCAAAGAGAGAAAAAAACATCATACTGATTTGTACTTAACCTATGATGATTTACGACTTGTATTTAAATATTTGAATTGGGCAGATCTGTTGAATGCGTCAATGGTTTGCAGGTGTGAATATGTTCGACATTTCATTAAATTTTTGTATCCTAAATGAAGAAAAAATGCATTGCCAAAAATTTATTTAATCAAAATTGAATAAACTTCAAAAGTAGACATTTGTGTGTTAAATTTTTGTAAAATGTATTAACATGTGGAGCTTTATATTTCAGGTCATGGTTAGAAGTGGCAAACGATGAGAAACGAACTAGGGGAGGTCCTACCACTTTTATGAATATTGGTAGAAGATATATGACAGCTATAGAAAAATTACGGGACAAACCAGCAGTAGGATTAGTTTTTAAAGGTATACATAAAGCAAGCATTAGGCAAGGTATTTATTTGAATTATATCGCAGCTTTTTTAATTTTAAGTTAAATGTTTCCATAAAGTACATATATCACTTTGCTTTTAATCATTATGTTTCATTTTATCAAGATTGCCTTTGTCGAGTTCTTCCACGAAGTTGTGAAATTGTAACACTGTCCACATTTGGTATACTTATGGAAAATGCAGAAATGGAAAGAGCTCTTCAGAAAAGAGTATATGCATTTCTACCTGAAATACCTGATGTAACAATGAAAGTAATTACAGTTGTTTCACGAAATGATTATACACAGTATTATCAACAAATGAAACTAGCTTTTTTCAAAGATAAAACTGATAGATCTAAATGTCTTCTACTATTTTGTAATCAAGCAGGTCGTACCCTAGCACAGAGAACTGCAAGGGTATTACGAATATGGTAAAATTCTAAATTTCATAATCTGGTATCTTATTACATTATATGATAATAACATAATGCTGTTTTTACATTTAGTAGTGGAGGAGTTACACCTTCTGTATGGGGAGGAGTAGTCAAGGATTTATATGTGTGTAATTCAAAAAATATTAGTCATGATGAGAGATGCTTTTCATATGCATTTTGTGTTGGAATTATTATAGTTGGAGCAATAGATTCATGGTCTATAGTTATAGATGAAGATTGCAACACTAAAGAACTAGTTGAACAGAAGTTGGAATTATTTAAGAATCATGTTTCATTAAGAAAACATTCCATAGGTTACATGTTTGCGTGTTGTGAACGTGGAACAAATATGTTTAATGAAACGGATGTAGAGTCTACTATATTCAAAAAGCTGTTTCCAGAGGTACCATTGGTAGGCTGTTTCGGTGACGGAGAATTTGGAGAAAATACGGTACCAAATTGTAAATATCTTTCATTATGACCGCAGACGTTATTACAACAATGGAAAACAATGCACTTTTATTATAAATTTTTTCAGATAATTTTAGCTTGGGAGAAGACTACTGGTACCATGAAAGGTCTACTGTATTTTTAATAATTACATATGGCCAGAAGTTGACTTGAATCTATAATGAAGAAATCTGAACTATCAATTAAATTAATATTAGAATATATTTGGTAAATGTTAAGTGACTAATTGTAACATAAAAAATCAATAATGGTGATTTAAAAATATATGTTACATAATAATGTATCTTAATATATTTTATGTTCATACAGATTTTTTTATGTTATTTCCTAATTTATTTCCCTATAAAAATGTCTATAGCACGAAAATTTTTACTTTTTTTTATTAAAAAATGGTTAGCTTCCGGAACAAAGCAATTTAAAAATGATTACCAGTATGGAAAACAACTTTGTTTAATATCATGTACGCGTAACTGTTTCAACGCGATATGGAAACACTTAGCATATCCGACAGTTAATTGGACAAAAACCTGCACCTCTTTGAATATAATTATAATGTTTAAAACATTGCCAGATGCCAGACAACTACTTGACAGTATTTCCGCTCGTACGATACCACGGTAAAGATAAAATAAAGGAAACTGGGCCGTGAAAGAATTTATTTATGTTTAGTATGATATTGCCAGGGTTTATAAGGTTGTACTTTGAAACTTTTTCCATCAAATTAAGTCAAGTAAGGATATATAAATACTAGAACATTGAACTCTTCACCGCGTGGCAGTCTCGTATAATTATTTTAGGATTATTTATAATTTATTTAACATATTAAATACGGTGTTTCTTTAAAGTGAAACGATGACTGTATTACTATACTCTAGTACTATATTCTATATTCTAGTTGCGCCTGTTATTTTATTTAATTTTACGGTTTGCCAAGCATGGAACAGTGGTTTGCAACAAAGGTACGATGGATATGGGGTAGATTGGATTTTTATGCCTGATGGAAATGATCAGCCTCAAGTTGCGGTACTGAGACACACTGAAAATGATGAACGAGGCATTTTTGACTCACAAGTTTCTTACGTCCTTTATACTCGGTATATTCAGAAGTTTATAAAATTTAAATATTTACGAAAACATGTTTTATAATCCTTTTGAAACATAAATATATTTCAAGATCTGGTCCAGAAAATGGTACTCAATTATATACGAACGATACTAAAGGACTTCACAACTCTAATTTTGATCCGTCTCGCCAAACTAAATTTATAACACATGGATGGAAATCAAGTGCAATGAATACTGGTCTCGTTGATATGAAAGAAGGTATTGTCATTTTAAAGATTTGAGAACGTAATTCTAGAAAGTCGGTATATTTTACTGTTTATTATAATTATGTAGCATATTTAAAGTATAACAATTATAACGTCATTATGGTTGATTGGCAACCTCTGGCTGCAAGTACATTCTACCTTGGACCAATGCGTAATACAGAAAGGGTGGGAAGAACATCTGCTGAATTTATCGACTTCTTAGTGGCAGAAACAGAACTTAAAACCGAAAATATTCATTTTATTGGTATATTATTAATATAATGAACTTAAGATGTAGTAATTATTCCACGTTTTCTATATTTTCATTATTACTTTACGAAGGGCATTCTCTTGGAGCGCATGTAGCTGGTAACACCGGAAGTTTAATAACTTCCGGACGCTTAGGAAGAATAACCGGCTTAGATCCCGCTTTGCCTGGATTTCATTTGCTTACATCGGATAAAACTCGATTAGATCCTACAGACGCGATGTTTGTCGATATTATTCATTCTTGTGGTGGAGTCTTAGGCTATTTGCAACCTTTAGGAAGCGTAGATTTCTACCCAAATGGAGGAACAGCTGTTCAGCCTGGTTGCTGTTGTATTCCAGAAATAATGGGTAATATATCATTTGTATGCTTTAGCAATAAGTACATATATCTATGTTTCTTTTTCTATAGAGGCATGTAGTCATGGTCGAGCACGTGTATATTTTACCGAAAGTATTGGTTCTAAAACCGGGTTTGTGGCGAGTAAGTGTGATACATGGGATCAATTTATGCAAGGAAGTTGTAATTATTCCAAAACCACACTACTAGGAGAACATGTTGATAAAATGGCGACTGGAACCTATTTTCTCACAACAAGATCTGAACCTCCTTATTCTAATCAGATGGAAATAACTGATAATACGATTTAAATAAAATATTTGGTATTTAAGAAAAGAAGGTATATACTATATATATATAGATAGCGAGCAGAATCAATCATAGAATAAAATGTATATTTAGTAAAAATAGCTTATTATATGCAAGATATCTAATGGAAAATATTTCATTTTAATAAATAATAATTACATTATTTAACATTTCAAATACAACAAACTCTATGTTTGTCAATTTCCAAATATTTGTTTTATACATCAATATTTCATCTTACCTACAAAATATACCATGATTCGATGTAGCTAACAATTGCCAATATCTTAGGGAATGACCGAAGGATCTTAAATTGGTTTGTATAATAAGGTTGTAACATATTTTTTACGATAACGATGCGTCGCCGATAGAACCATTACGCTATCCTTAATGCTTAAAGCATATAGATGATTTAACATAACATGATTTGGTTCTGGTAGAAGTGTTGGTTCACACTGAAATTAGTATTGGTAAAACTAATAATACATTTTGTAACAAATTAAAATGCTTGTTAATATATTTTTGTAAACTTACAGATAAGGGAGTATCTTTATTGAGAATAACTTGAAGCAAATGAGGTGGCAATATTGGTGGACCAGCTACTTTCTCCCAGGGCTTATTAGGAGGAATTTCTTGTCCGTACTCAGTCTGAGCACTACTAGTAACACCCTCGCTATCTTTTGCAAGTGCTTGAAAAACTTCAAAATCAGATTTTCTTACAGATACCAAATTATTCTTGGAACCCATTCCATTATCAACAATTTTCTATCAATAAAATATTTTTATTAAAGCATGTACAAATGAATGGATATTTTAATATCGTTTAAAATTAGCAAAATTATTTCTTACTATATCTGGATCGTGTCTCCATTCACCATCGACAAAAAATTTATATTGATGTTCTCCCTCAGGCAAATCAATAATTGTTACAAAATCACCATGACTCTTAACCATTGGTAATGTTTTCCATCCAGTAAAAGTTCCACTGATATAAACCTGTTTACCACCTCCCTCCCATTTAAACACCGTTGGTAAAACTTTGCTATCTGCTACTTTGGTTCCTTCAGATACTGTATTAGAGCGTGGACGTTGAGAACTAAAGTCTTCTCCATCTTGATGTGTATTAGTCTGTTGGTAAAAAGGATGACAAACTTTTTAAATAGATCCTTCTGTGAATTTGCAATTAATGTATTTAACATAATGAATTACGAAAAATACCTTAGCAAAATAAGGTTCTTCCTCCTCATGAGATGATTGGAAAACTAATTTTTGACTTGGTTTCTTATCAAAAACAAAAGCTTGGCCTTCCTTCCCTGGTGAAGGTGGAGGATATTCTTTAGTATGGCGGTGTTCTCTATTTGTGCTGCTAGTGTGATGATGGCCAACTGGTTGATTACTGCCAGCGTTACCCATTATTAGGCTGCAATTTCTATTGCAAAACAGACTAAATGTAACGATCAAAGTATTTATTAATTTGATATGAATCAGTAAAAAGATATAAAGGAAAGTATAGTTATATCTTCACCTTTCTTTTAAATCACTTGTTTTGTTTACAAGAATCTAAGAATTCAACGAAATTTTATTTCATTTAAATAAAATGACAACCAAACTTTAGATTGATAGTGTTAAGATTATTTCATTTTCACTGGTAGCTATTAATTTGTACATACCTTACTTTTAATCTATAAATCAAACACGATAAACAATCATAACGTCAAAGAACGGTAAGTGCAATAAAAGTAATGATTCCATTAGATTTGACTAAAAATGGCTACTTCACTTATTGAAGATCTACTTATCGATAAGTTGACGATTATAATAAGCACCTATATTATCAACTGCCGGAAATTCTGACTTACAAATTGTATTTGTAAATTATATCGACAGCGAATATAACAGAGAAATTGTACAATTTATCAATATTACAGCGCTAACAAGAGCGCTCGTAAAAAGATCGTTTGCATACGTTACGGTTTCGAAAATTGTTTTAAGCAAGTGAAGTGAAATTTATTATTTTTATATGCTCGATTCGAGTGGTCCTTTTTCACATTATTATTTTATTATTTATTTATTATTTATTTATTATTGTCACATTATAAATATATAATATTACACATATCTATTAAGGCAACATTATATATTTATAACATTGGTAATAAATAAAAACTAGATGTGTGCGCGCATATTTTGTTTTGACCTAACATGAATATAAAATATGTACTTGTCGTTTGAAATCATCATTTTCATAGATCAGGCGTTATCGAACATGATCAAATGTGTATTTCTATATTGATATCGTCCAAGCCTTTTCGAACGTTGAAGCATTCGCGGTTTTCAAGGTGAGACGAACCTTGTATAGTAAAAGCACCGAGGTGTGCGAAAGGTGATCAATAACCGTCAATATGCAGGACGACGTTTTAATAAGAGTGTAAGCCTGAGATCTTGGGGCCCAGTTTATGACTCCGCGACACAGGACGTCACTTCGACGCTCTTACTGCTTGCTCTTTATTACCACTTGTCTCTATCTCTTTCCACCCTCCCTCGCTTTCATACACTATTCTCTTGTATATGTTTCTTCCTTTTCTCCGTCCTGTCTCTATCTTTGTCTCCCTTGCAGTGTTCTCACGCGAATTTATTATTTATAAAGCTAAAGGAGCATGTATCTCCTCGAGCGTATTCTAACTTGCCCGTCTGACTTTCAGCTTTGCAACAAAACTCTTACGAAGCCTTAGTCGACTCGTTTCATGATTCTTGATCATTTTTTCGCCAAAAAATGTCTACTCTCTCGTGTCTTTCTTATCCTGTTTTCAATTTCACGAGTGCATGCAATGTCTTAAGCTAGATGTCACTCTGAGAGGTTTGGAAATCGTATTTGCGCGCTTCGAATGCGCAACATATCGTAATGGACAGATGTATCCCAGTGAAGAGTCGTTTTATCTTTGAAAGCTTGGGTCGAAATTCATTTAACGGAACCGCAGATTTGATCGATCATGTTAAATGTATTTCTCGTTCCGTGATGCTGATTAGATTATTGTAAAAGCTTTGGATTATCTGAAGTGGCAACATATGTCGAACATTTCCGGGAGTTCAAGTGGCTTGCACGCGGCCTGCTATATGGATGTTAATTTTTATCGGCAACTTCGATAGACCGGCCGGCTCGAGTAACTCGCGTAACGAGAGAAGTTAAACGGGAGTACAACAACGCGTTCTTGTAAACGTATGCATTCACCAGGAAGTCGAGGCCGCTAGGATGCGCCTGTGTCGACTACGCCAAGTAAACCCAAAGTCCCGGCTTTCTGTTCCGGTAAACAACGTTTTAATCCTATCGAGATTGCTCGTTACAGGGCGCGAGACAATATCCAAGTTTCAGCCAGCAATCATCGCCCGAGTACAAAGCATCTCAACTCTCTGTCGTCGCAAAACGTTTGCTTCTTGCGTACGATCGAGAATTTGTCACTCGATCTCTCGTATCAATCGAATCGTCTTTTATCGTCTTTAAATCTGAAACCGTTGGTTGTTTTAGGCGCGTGAGACGGGTGAGGGGTAACAAAGCGGAGGAGAGTTTTGGCACGAGCCAGATGTCGAGCGGATCCGTAACGAAACCGAGAAAAGAAAGGAAGGAAAAGAAAATAGGAGGAAAATCGTGACGAGCAGAGAATCGAGGTAACGTGCATGCGTTTAATCGATAATCACTGGCAAGTGGTTTCGTCCGAAAAGGGTGTGGAGGTTACATCTGCGAGGTATCATCAGTGGCGGCCTACGAAACGGCGATCCATCATCTCTCGGCAGTCCAAATCCGAAATTGCTCGGCCATTTCCTCGGGCTACGCGTGCGGCTATAATAGGGATTAAGGCTGGTGTAAATAAATTTCGAATCGCAAGTAATCCTATCTCTTTAAGCTTTGCGGCGTTCGCGGAGTCGAAAGCCCCGGAGGAACGCGACCGATCCTGTACTTCTTCTTTCGTAGAACTCGTTCAGAATAATTCCATGTTAAAGAGAGGCAAGGAGTACGAACTATTTCAACGAGTTATTCGCCATAACGAATCTTTCGTTGTACGTCTAGAAGAAAAAGGACGGCTACCGCCTACGACATACTTGTCCTTTTTGGTTGTCCTTTTTTTTCTTTTTAGATGCAAAGGGGCTCGCAACGTGAGCTGATAACGAGCAACGAGAAGTGACAGGAAGGTGGTTCGTTACCGTTGCACGTCGGTAACAGAGCAGTCGATCTATTCGTCGGTTGTCTTCTTGCGCGCGGTTGCTGAAATAGTATTGTTACGCTGTTCATTGAGCACGAGGCACGTTAGATTATCAGCAGCAGATAGAGGGACACCCGTTGCCGGATAATAATAGATATGTTGTCAGCAGGATGTTTCGACATTCGATCGCAAACTCTTGCCTCTTACCTGACTAAGGAAGTTGACGATCGAATGGAGAGTTCCTGTCGCCGAGGGAAGAGGCATATTCGGGGATGACGCGGACTTAGGCCGTGTCGGCGAAAGTCCGGAGAGGCGGTG